GTTTGATCTTTTATCATGTTTTTAATATTCTGTTGGGAGCCGCCCAGAGTGGCTGGGGAAAACCAGCTAAATGGGCAGGGTAAAGGTAAAGGTAAAGGGACCCCTGACCGTTAGTCCAGTCGTCACCGTCTCTGGGGTTGCGGCACTCATCTTGCTTTATTGGCCGAGGGAGTCGGCATACAGCTTCCGGGTCATGTGGCCAGCATGACTAAGCCGCTTCTGGTGAACCAGAGCCGTGCATGGAAATGCCATTTACCTTCCCGCCGGAGTGGTACCTATGTATCTACTTGCACTTTTTGGTGTGCTTTCGAACAGCTAGGTTGGCAGGAGCAGGGACCCAGCAATGGGAGCTCACCCCATCGCGGGGATTCAAACCACCAACCTTCTGATCGGTAAGCCCTAGGCTCTGTGGTTTAACCCACAGCGCCACCTGCGTCCCTTAGATGGGCAGGGTATAAATAAATAAATAAATAAATAAATGTTGTTATTCTTATTATTCTGACAGTAAGAGCTGTTCGGCAGTGGAACAAGCTTCCACGTGAGCTGGTGGACTCTCCTTCCTTGGACATTTTAAAGCAGAGGTTGAATGTCCACCTGTCACGAATGCTTGAACTGAGATTCCTGCATCGCAGAGGGTTGGTCTGGATGACCCCTGGGGGTCCCTTCCAACCCTACGATTCTATAATTCCACGGGCTCCATTCATTGTAAAGCAAACACACGCACTATCTAAATAACTCACTTGGATTGGTTCAATCAGTTGCCCCCGAGGGAGGCTCATAAAACCCGAGATTAACTGGGCTGCTAAAACCTTCTCTGAGCACCTTCTCTCCATTTACCTTCCTGCCTGTGCGGTTTCTCAGATCCACACAGCCTAAAAGCAGTGCCTTGGGGGTTGCCAACAGTTTTCTGAATGGGCTCTTGTGCCTTTAACAACACCCCGGTGCACAGAAACCCAGAAGCTTTTCCTGGCGTGCGGATGAAGAAATGGGCAAAGCTTTTCCCGTGTCATTTCAGCACACGAGGCGGCTGTTAACGGCACCGGTTTCTTGCCAGAAAAGAAAGTGAGGAAAGCTGGCGACCCGATTGCAGCCCTATAAAATAACTGATTGTGGATGGTGTCGAAACCGCAGGGTGGCTGCCACTTTCCCTGCATAGAAAGCAGGCTGGCTGCAGCATTTTTTTCCCTGGCATCACAGTCTGAACCAGGTGGTAATAATAATAATAATAATATTTATATATACCCCGCCCTCCCCAGCCAAGGCCGGGCTCAGAGCAGCTGACAAGCAATAATAAAAACAAGTTGGATGAATACAACTTAAAAACAAGATTAAAATACAACATTAAAATATTGAAACAATAAAATATTAAAATTCAGCCTCATCACAGGAGGAGAAAGGAAAAGAAATCAGATCCTGCAGGGCCCTGGTCTCAAGAGACAGAGCGTTCCACCAGGCCGGAGCCAGTGTTGAAAAGGCCCTGACTCTGGTTGAAGCTAATTTAACCTCTTTGGGGCCCAGGACCACTAGGGTGTTGCTATTTATGGACCTCGAGGCTCTCTGTGGGGCATACCGGGAGAGGCGGTCCCGTAGGTACGGGGGTCCTAGGCCATGAAGGGCTTTAAAGGTCCTTAAATCTGACCCTGTACTCCACCGGGAGCCAGTGCAGCTTGAAAAGCACTGGGTGAATATTTTCCCATGGCAGGGACCCCGTGAGGAGCCTCGCTGCAGCATTCTGCACCCGTTGGAGTTTGTGGGACAGTTTCAAGGGCAGCCCCAAGTAGAGCGAATTACAGTAGTCAAGCCTGGAGGGGACTGTCGCATGGATCACTGTGGCCAGATCGGGGCGGGAAAGGTAAGGGACCAATTGCTTGATGCGGCGAAGGTGGAAAAATGTCACCTTGGCTGTTGCTGTAACCTGCGCCTCCATGGAAAGGGAGGAGTCAAGGATTACACCCAAACTCTTAACGGAAGGCAATGCGCCCTGTTGTGTGTGGCTTTGATTCTCCCCCTCCCCACCAAAGGGCAGGCTTTGTGAGTTGGGGAGCTAGCAGGGGGTCTCCCTTGGGAAGGTCAGTGTTTCGCGAGGACCGTCTGGCAGCACCCAAGGGTGCAGAAATGCAGAAATGCATCTCTTTAGATCAGCGGTTCTCAACTTGTGGGTCCCCAAATGTTGTTGTTTTCTAATTCGCTCATAGTTTCTTTTTTCTTTCTTTTTGAAAAACTTTATTCCAAAACCGAAAAAGAATTAGAAACATCAAATTCAAAATCCATATTCGTAACATAAGCCTATTACATAGTTGACTAGATTAAAATATACCTAATTGCTATAGACTTCCCTTTGCTATATATAAATGCAATGGAATTAGAAATATTATATTAGAAATTTTTATAATTTCCCCTATACTCCCCACTCCCCTTCACCCATGTGTGATCTCAAATTTTTAAAAAAATTCTTCCATCTTGTTGTGTTGTTGTAGTTTAATAATTATTCAGTTGATTCTTTTATTATTTCCTTGCTTACCCCTGCACATTTTACACATTATCTATTAATATTCCAGTTCCGGAACCATATTTTTTCATGTATTCCTTCACTCCATCCCACTCTTTAATTATTCTCTGATTTCAATCAGATCAATCATCGTGGGTCCCCAAATGTTGTTGGACTACAACTCCCATCATCCTTGAGCTCTGGCCTTGCTAGCTAGGGGTGATGGGAGTTGTAGTTCAACAACATCTGGGGACCCACAGGTTGAGAAAGGCTGCTTTAGATCTTTCCTTTTGCGTGGACAGGCGGAGTCCCCCAGATCCCGAGTGCCCCCCTGTCATGTGGAATAACGACTCAAGACAACGTGCTATGGGATTAAATTGGCCACAACTTTATTAAATTTCAAATGTGGGCAGACCTTGGCTCAGGCATTGGGCGTTATCCGTCCCCAGTCCCCAGCCGGGGACCGAGGGAGCATCAGGGTTATCCAGTGGGGGGGGGGGATGGACCGGCTCTGGAGAACATATGTTCAAGCAGAGATAGCCGCCCCCGTTACACCACCGCCGCAGGGGAGAGCAATGACAACCTCTCAGCGTACGGTCAAAGCCTCCCTTCAGAAACCCCTTTAACGGTGAACCCTGGTATCGCCGCTGCAAAGAGGAAGATAGACTAAAGGATTCCGCCCAAGGCCTGATACCCCCAAAGTTGTGTCTTGTTTTGCTACGGGAAAGGCGAAACCTGCCAATGCAGTGAAATTCCTTTCCGGCCCTTTAACAGTGACCTTGACATAGCAGCGCCCACATACCTGTGAAGAAAAGTTAACCTGCAAAGTGAAGAAAAGTTAACCTGCAAAACAAGACATTAACTGAGGGTGGGTAGGGTGGGAGAAGCTCTGGAGCCAAGTGAGGATTCCCAGGTAAGATCCTCCCTCTATTGTGTGGGCAGGTAGTCCCTCCCCGACCTGGCCTGGTCTCCTTGGCAACGCTTCCCCCAGGTGGGATTGGATAGCTGACTGAGGTAGGCGGAGACCTCCAGGTATCCCACCTGAGGGAAGGCGAAGCCAAGCCTATGCTGATGGAGCCGCTCCAGATCCAGGGGCCGCGCACGTCCACGCAAAGGGCGTCCCCCATTTTTATGTGGGGAGCGGTCATTCCTCTCCAGCTGCATACACACAGCATACATTTAATGTACAGAGAACCCTGGCAGTTTACCCATCGCTGAGCTACAACTCCCAGCACCATTCACAAACTACAGTTCCCAGGGCAGGGGGCAGTCCTGTGCTTTTTAGCTGAGCTTTAAATGTGTGGTGTGTGTGCCCAGCTTCTCCCTTCCTTGGCAGCAAGCGCTCTTTTCATTTTGGATCTGATAGCTCCGTCAAAGAGATCTTCTGTTCTGCTCGGGTCTCCTTTGCCCACACATCCTGCCTGCCTGCCAGGATCTGCTCACAGCGGGAGCCAAGGACGTTGAGCCAGCCAGCGACTGGATCGCCTTCAGACAGCATCACCCACTTGGAGTCAGGGCTGGCTAACATCTCCACCAGGAATGCCATTTTGCATTTGCAATATCCTCATTACCATCCTGGCAAGCTTTTCCCCTCAAAGGCCTCCTGCCAGGTCAGGAGCAGAATCAACTAGCAAACCATCTCATTTGTTTTTTTAAATCCAACCTGTGTCAGTTTCTCTCTCTCTCCTATGGGTTGTACAGTAAGGTTTCCAGATTTTTTTTGAATGAATCCACTTTTCAACTTCAGTAGGAATGATAGGATTTTGTATGGGGACTGATCTGTAAATCCAGGGACTGTCCCCAGGAAACAGGGACATCTGGCAACCTTATTGTACAGTGGTACCTTGGAGACTCTTGAGAGTCCCATGGACTGCAAGAAGATCAAACCGATCCATTCTGAAGGAAATCAGCCCTGAGTGCTCACTGGAAGGACAGATCGTGAAGCTGAGGCTCCAAGACTTTGGCCACCTCATGAGGAGAGAAGACTCCCTGGAAAAGACCCTGATGTTGGGAAAGATGGAGGGCCAGCGGCGTAGCGTGGGTTGTCAGCACCCGGGGCAAGGCAAGTAATTTGCACCCCCAACCCGGGGCAAGGCAAGTAATTTGCGCCCCCTAACCCGGGGCAAGGCAAGTAATTTGCGCCCCCTAACCCCTAACCTGCCGCCGCTGCCAGCTTCTTCTTGCTGCTGCCTGGTCTGGTCTGGTGTGGTTCTCTCCCGCATTCAGCGCTGCGCTGGGCGGCCGCTACACTGTCCCTCCCCCAGATAGTCCCTCGCTCTCTCTCCGCACCGCACGCGTGGCACCCACCCCCTCCACAGTGGGCGGTGACCCGGCGGCTCGGATCGGATACGCACAGCCAGCACTGCAGTGAGAGAGAGTGAGTGAGCCAGGTAGGGGCAGAGAGCTGCGAGTGCGAGCGCGTCCCCCCAGATGTTGCGCCCGGTGCGGCCGGCCCCCCCTGCACCCCCATGCTACGCCACTGTGGAGGGCGCAAGGAGAAGGGGACGGCAGAGGACGAGATGGTGGGACAGTGTTCTCAAAGCTACCAGCATGAGTTTGAACAAACTGCGGGAGGCAGTGGAAGACAGGAGTGCCTGGCGTGCTCTGGTCCAGGGGGTCACAAAGAGTCAGACATGACTAAACGACTAAACAACAACAACAACACCTTGGTTCTCGAACTTAATCCATTCCGGGAGTCCGTTCGACTCCCAAAACCGTTCGTAAACCAAGGCGCGGCTTCTGATTGGCTGCAGGAGCTTCAAGTGGAGGCCAGATCGGATGTTTGGCTTCTGAAAAATGTTCGCAAACAGAAACACTTACTTCCGGGTTTGCGGCGTTCGGGAGCCAAAACGTTTGAGTACCAAGGCGTTTGAGAACCAATGTGCGATTGTATTTGGTGAAGTCCTACTCAGAGTAGACGCATTGGGAGGAATGGACATAACTTTCTCAGGTACATTAATCTCAGTTCTGCTCTGAGCATGACTTTGTTGTTGATGTCTGTCTGTCTAGAGAGTCAATGGAGTGTGTCTCCAGGGGTGAAGCTGAACCGCTGTGTTAGCACCACCAAAGTGACGTCCCTGGAGCACAAGCCTGGGCAGTGTGTCTGGAGGTCCTGGGCTGCCCAGATGACAAGACCCCCTTCTTGGCCTTGCTGATGTGGTCCAAAGGAAAGAAGAGTGATACTTTTTACACCAGCTTGGCTGCAGGGGAACTTTCTCAGCCTGTGCGCCAATCCACTGTGGACCATATTTTGACAGGTGAGTGGAACCACCTACCTGTCGATCGGCTCATGTCACAATGTCAGGTGATTCAGATTTCAAGCTGGAAGGAGGGTCGGGCCTGTCTCTGATCTTAGCACCGTGGGCAACTAAGATTCCAATCTTAGTTCTGTTGCCCCACAGTGCTAAGATCAGAGATAAATCTCTGCTTGCTCTTTAAAAGACATCAGGCAAAGGCTTGTCCCTTATCTTAGTGCTGTGGTCCCACAGCACTTAAATCAGAGATAAGCTTCCACTTGCTGTTGAAAAGGCAACAGGCAGAGCTTATCTCTGATATTAGTGCTATGAAATGGACCCTGCAACCTTGTAGCAGCGTTTCGCAGAAAGATCCGAAAAGGAAGGCATCATCATCACCATCATTTTTAATTTGTATACCGTCTTTCTATCTTACAATACTCAAGGCGGTTTACAAGCTGAAGAAAGAAACAAATGTACATGTTATAACCATCTAATGCAATACAAAAATGTGATAATAAAACATAACTTTAAAATAAGCAACCTTCATCAACAAAGTAACATTCAACAATCATTAGAATAGTATAAAATAAAAAATCAACATATAAAAGTTAAGCAGAAATCCACTGTTACAATAAATATTTTTTTTAATTTTTTTTAGCAATTTCAACATAACAACATATCTAAACATATCCTATTCATTATTTTCCCCCTTCCCCCCACCTCCCCAGAGACTTCCCTCAGTTCCTCTCTCTCATTTCTCCACACATATTCTCTGCATATTGTAAAAGTGTATAAATCTTTATATTAACAGTCTACTGTATTAACAATCAATAAATTTGTGTATGTTTATTCAAAACCTGCCAAGGAGTCCAGTTCATTTTGTTGTCTTTTTAAGTAATTTGTAAAAAGTTCCCATTCTTCTTTGAAATCACAGTTGTCCTTATCTCACAGTTTGTATGTCAGTTTAGCCAGTTCTGCATAGACAATAAATAATTTCTAAACTATAACCAATTTTGTTGTTGTTGTTTAGTCGTTTAGTCGTGTCCGACTCTTCGTGACCCCATGAACCAGAGCACACCAGGCACTCCTGTCTTCCACTGCCTCCCGCAGTTTGGTCAAACTCCTGCTGGTAGCTTCAAGAACACTGTCCAACCATCTCGTCCTCTCTCGTCCCTGTCTCCTTGCGCCCTCCATCTTTCCCAACATCAGGGTCTTTTCCAGGGAGTCTTCTCTTCTCGTGAGGTAGCCAAAGTCTTGGAGCCTCAGCTTCAGGATCTGTCCTTCCAGTGAGCACTCAGGGCTGATTTCCTTCAGAATGGATACGTTTGATCTTCTTGCAGTCCATGGGGCTCTCAAGAGTCTCCTCCAGCACCAGAATTCAAAAGCATCCATTCTTCGGCGATCAGCCTTCTTTATGGTCCAGCTCTCACTTCCATACATCACTACTGGGAAAATCATAGCTTTAACTATACAGGCCTTTATCGGCAAGGTGATGTCTCTGCTTTTTAAGATGCTGTCTAGGTTTGTCATTGCTTTTCTCCCAAGAAGCAGGCATCTTTTAATTTTGTGACTGCTGTCACTAATAAAACAATACGAATTGAGAAGCAGAGACTAGAGGCTGTGGCAAGGCAGGTGGAAGGAGGCCTTGCCTGACAAAGTCTCTCCCCTCACAGTCCACAGTGCTTGCTCCAATGTGCTTCTGTGCCGCACAAGTTGTGGCCCGACAGTTGGAGAAGCGGGGCTCTGATTTCGACTCTCACGGTCTCTTGGGTTGGCCACGATTCGCAGCTGGAACTGGCAGAGAGGCGGCTTGGTTGCGTAGGGAGAGTTGGACCGCGTAAGGAGCAAGCGCCGCACCTTGACACAGCAGCTCACGATATCCTGAGCAAGACTGGGGGGGGGGGTGGAGAAGGTGGTGGATTTGGCAAGGAACACGGGATGCCTGCTCCTCATTTACTCCTTGAAGAGCAGCATTCCAAGAGCATCGGTCGAGGGCTGCGCAAGCCTTTATTGAAAGCCTCCAAAGTGTTTATAGGACAATTTGTGCGCAGCAAGTTTCCCTGGAAGAGGCTCACATCGGCGAGAGAGAGAGTGTGTGTGTGGAGTGGAGTCGAGGGGGGCTCGCTGCTGTGCGTTAGAGGCCCGATACTCATTGATATGAACACACTGGGAATCAAGTCATCTAACAGATGTTTGCGATTTAAAGAAAAGTCTCTGGAAGGGAGAGGAAATACTTGGCAGGCTGCGGGGAAACGGGTGAAAATCAAACAGTTCATTCCTGGGTGCAATCATAGCCAAATCTATTCTTTGCGTATGTTTGGGGGGGGGAGGGAATGTGGGGAGAAGGGGGTATGGTATTTTATGTGCGTAAAGGACCTGGATTCGGACCCTCTGAAGGTTTATAGAGTGTTCATCTTTCCAAAGAGGTAGCTCTATTGCATTCTTCAGCCCTGAATGTCTGCAAAAGTGAATTCTTTTCTTTTTTTTTTTAAGGATAGGAACTGCATGATTTCAATGCTCCCTGCGCACATCTGACCGTGGCTGCACATTTTTAGGCATGATGCGGCGGTGGTGGCCATTGACGTATGACCCTATCCACACAATTGCCTACGGATGGAGGGATCTGTCAATTGCAGTTTCTTCCGGTTTCTCATTTTGCAATTCCTATGTTCAGATCTCCATATTGCCACATTCGTTTTTGCATTTTTTAAAAAAGCCCTCATCAAAATCTATCAGCATCTAAGTGTACATTTTGCATGCTATTTTGCCTTAAATATACGCATTTCTGCAAGGCAAAATCCCCCCCAATGCCTTTATGTATGTTATTCTCAGTATTATACGCATTTATATGCACACTTTATCCTAGTGTATGCATTTTTCAACATATTACTGGGCTGGAGCCAGTGTGGTGTAGTGGTTAAGAGCGGTAGACTCGTAATCTGGTGAACTGGGTTCGCTTCCCCGCTCCTCCACATGCAGCTGCTGGGTGACCTTGGGCCAGTCACACTTCTCTGAAGTCTCTCAGCCCCACTCACCTCACAGAGTGTTTGTTGTGGGGGAGGAAGGGAAAGGCGATTGTTAGCTGCTTTGAGACTCCTTAGGGTAGTGATAAAGCGGGATATCAAATCCAAACTCTTCTTCTTCTGGAGAACTGCACCGCAAAATTCAGAGAAGCTCAAATTCGAGACAGTGGCTGGGTTTCAGTTCATGTATTGTTTCAAAAAGCGTTACTTCGGCAAGTTTAAATGAGAAATGAATACAATTTCTCCCCGTCACTGTCAATCGTGTGATTATTTTTTTTTCCAAAGGAGTAAATGGCAGTTTTAGGGTCCCTGATAAGCTGAGTGATTAATGTGCACAACATCTAGCGATTGTGCAAATCCCCCTGGCCGCACAGAGAATGTGCATATGATCTGTCTATGAAAAGGAATTGTGCACATTTCCTGGTCAATATACATAATCCTCCTTTGGGGAATGTATATATCTCAACTGAATTTTGTACATTCTGCAGCCATTATGAATAATCTACAACAGGCTTTAGGGTATGTGGCTGTCAGCTGAATATTGTACGTTCTCCAGTCAGCATGCAATATGGAGTCCACCAACAGCTGGAGGGCCACAATTTCCCCATTCTTGCTATAGAATCCCCCCCCATTCTTCTAATTGACCTGAAAGTAGGGTGAATGGCACAGTGGGAAAACAAGGCATTAGAACAGAAACATCTGCCAAACCCAAATGTCTGTTTTGCATAATATTTGTCCCCCAGGGAAGCGTTCTGCCATGCAGATGCTGTTGTGTTCCTTGCAGAAAATAATTGTGATGGCCTGGGAATCTGATTCAGAGGCTGAACCGGAGGAATCCCAGCCTGCACAGGAGTCCCCACCTCCAGGGCCGGCTGAGCCAGGGCAGGGCCTTGAATCTGAAGGGCCCGCACCTGTGCCGGATCCTCAGGAGCAGACACCAGATGAATCCACTCTGGCTCCAGGGGTGATTGAGGACCCATTGACTGCAGGTGCTCCTCTCCCAGCCCTGTCAGGGGAAGGTGAGGCGGCCTCTGGGTCCAGTAACCCTCCAGCCTCTCCTAAGCTGCAGAGGCTCAGGGCAGAGAGGCAGAGGGAACTAAGTTCTATCAGGAGGAGTGCTCGCCTCCAGGCCAGGAGAGGCGAGTCACCTGTGGGCCAGGACTGTCCTAGGCCCCAGAGGAGATAAAGGTCAGTCAGCCCAGTCCCAGGTTGTGGGAGCAACATCGTTGGAAACCTGTTTCTGCCAGCACCCAGACCTGTTTTTCCGGAGTTCCCAACCACGCCCGGCTTCTTGCTTTGGACTCCGCTTCGCCCTTGGTGGACAATCTCCAGACCCTCGACCCAGGACCGGACTCTGACCACGCCTCACAGTAACCCCCCCCCCGGGACGAGCACAATAATGCAACGACAAGGACTAAGGCTTCTGAGGGTTCTTCAGCTGTGGTTGGACACCAACTCCCCTTCGGCCCCAGGATGACCAACTGGTCAGGGATGATGGGAGCTTTGGTCAATATGGATAGATTTAAAATATGGACGATGAAAGAATATGCAGTTGAAAATGTTGACACTAGGACCCATGGAGGAGATGATGGGAAGTCTAGAGATTCAGAGAAATTTCCAAATCTGAGTTTGTACAGTCATACCTCTTGTTACGTTCGGTTCAGGTTACGTCTTTTCAGGTTGCGTCCCGTGGTGACCTGGAAGTACCGGAAAGGGTTACTTCCGGGTTTCACCGCTCGCGCATGCGCAGACGCACAAAATGATGCCACGCGCATGCGCAGAAGCAGAAAATCGCGACCTGCGTGTGCACAGATGCGGGTAGCGTTCCTCTCAGGTTGTGAACGTTGCTCCAGAACGGAGCCCCCATCGTTCAGCCTGGACACTGAGATCCAGTGCTGAGGGCCTTCTGGTGGTTCCCTCATTGCGAGAAGTGAGGTTACAGGGAACCAGACAGAGGGCCTTCTCGGTAGTGGCGCCCACCCTGTGGAACACCCTCCCTTCAGATGTGAAGGAAATAAGCAGCTATCCTATCTTCAAAAGACATCTGAAGGCAGCCCTGTTCAGGGAAGTTTTTAATATTTAACGCTGTACCGTTTTTAACACTTGATTGGGAGCCGCCCAGAGTGGCTGGGGAAACTGGGCAGGGTATAAATAATAAATAATAATAATAATAATAATAATAATAATGATGATGATGATGATTATCCCATTCGCAACCAGAGGTACCACTATATTTGATACTGTTATAATTTTACACTTGAAAAATCAAATAAAAATTATTTACAAAAAATAAAATAAAAATAAAATAAAATAAACAATACTGTCCCCGATAATGGAGATGGAGCATGGCCCTTATGGGTAACACTGATGATGGATGCTGACCTTTCTCTCTCTCTCCTGTAGCTGAGTCTCAGAAGCTTTGCTGATCTCTCTACTGGGCCTGTAGTCTTTCACTCAAGCGGAGGCCAGCTTCCTAAACGCTTCCCTGGTGAGCTTCTGAGTTTCACAGAGTGTCACTCACCTCTTTCCTTTGACAAAATACTCACGTTGACTGTCATGTTTTAAATTCTTCACACTACACATAGATAAGCTATGGAATTTGTTCTTGCCAGGGGTAGTGAGGTCCACCAACTTGGATCGCTTTAAAACATACAAATATACAAATGGAAGATCTGTAAATTGAAACTCCCTCCCTGGATAAGGCAGACTGGCTCCCTCCTTGCTGTCTTTCACCCAGCAGGTGAAAACATTGTTCCAACAGGCTTTTGGGAACTGACTGCTTTGAATGAAAGAGACAGCGTCCTATTGTTATTATTGTAATTGTTTGTATGGTTTTAGTACAGTCATACCTTGATTGTCGAACACCCTGGAACTCGGACGTTTTGGCTCCGGAACGCAGCAAACCCGGAAGTGATTGTTCCAGTTTGTGAACGTTCTTTTGGAACCTGAACGTCCAACGGGGCTTTCATGGCTTCTGATTGGCTGCAGGAGCTTCCTGTAGCCAATCAGAAGCCGTGATTTGGTTTTTGAATGTTTTGGAAGTTGAACGGACTTCCAGAATGGATTCCGTTCGACTTCCAAGGTACATTAGATAGATAGCTTTAATTAGATCTATGTTTAATTGGGTTTTTTTTTTTTTTAATGATGGGCTTTTTCCTGTGTTTTTATCTGTTCTTACTTTTATCTGTATGGCTTCCTGGGTCCCTGTCAGGGAAAAGATGGAGCATGAATAATAATAATAATAATAATAATAATAATAATAATAATAATAGGCTCTTGATAGCTGCTACTATGGGATGCGGGTGGCGCTATGGGTTAAACCACAGAGCCTAGGGTTTGCCGATTAGAAGGTCGGCGGTTCAAATCCCTGTGACGGGGTGAGCTCCTATTGCTCGGTCCCTGCTCCTGCCAACCTAGCAGTTCGAAAGCACATCAAGCGCAAGTAGATAAATAGGTACCGCTCCAGCGGGAAGGTCAACGGCGTTTCCGTGTGCTGCTCTGGTTCGCCAGAAGCGGCTTAGTCATGCTGGCCACATGACCCGGAAGCTGTACGCCAGCTCCCTCGGCCAATAAAGCGAGATGAGCACCGCAACCCCAGAGTCGTCCGCGACTGGACCTAACGGTCAGGGGTCCCTTTACCTTTACCTAGCTGCTACTAGCCAGTAATATGCGACCCTCTCCAAGGTTGTCCACAAGTGAATGCAGACCTTGGGATAGAAAAAGTTGCCATCCCTGCCCTAAGCATTTGGGCCTGTTTGAGTTTATCTTTAAAACCAAAAGGTCTGTCTTCCCAAAGCTGCATTCTTTCAGACTTCCTCAGCCATGCCATTGACGTTTCTCACCCTGACAGTTGTGGCTGATGTAGCAACAGCAGCAGCTCTCTCAAAACCCAGGCGTTGAAAAGCCAACAGCCGTCCGAGGCGGAGGAAGAAATGTGAGAAATGGAAGTTCTCAGCTTTGCACGGCCACAGCAGGCCGAGAGAGCTCTCCAGGAGCCGTCATCGCAGTTACCGGGCAGTTGCCCCTGTCGAAACCAAATCTCCTTTGAAACGGGCCCGTTAACATGCGGCAGGAGGAGAGAAGTAAGTGGGGGGTGAGGGGGGGAAATAGGACGCAGGAAAAGAGAGTATTTTGTTTTCAAAAGCAGATCTAAGGTTCGGGAACAGCTCCAGCTGAGAAGTGAGCAGAGGACAGTCCTTTGTGTGAAGGTATCTGCCATTTGGGAACGTGGGTGGCGCTGTGGGTTAAACCACAGAGCCTAGGACTTGCCGATCAGAAGGTCAGCGGTTCAAATCCCCGCGACGGGGTGAGCTCCCGTTGCTCGGTCCCTGCTCCTGCCAACCTAGCAGTTCGAAAGCACGAAGTGCAAGTAGATAAATAGGTACTGCTCCGGCGGGAAGGTAAACAGCGTTTCCGTGTGCTGCTCTGGTTCGCCAGAAGCAGCTTAGTCATGCTGGCCACATGACCCAGAAGCTCCCTCGGCCAATAAAGCAAGATGAGCCCCGCAACCCCAGAGCCGGTCACGACTGGACCTAATGTTCAGGGGTCCCTTTACCTTTACTTTATATCTGCCGTTTGAAGGGCGTTGAGATATAGGAAACGGCATTATTCCCAGGTGGAGCAGCAATCAAATCTCATTCAATTGTGGAACTGTATAGTTGGAAGCGACCCTGAGGGTCATCTAGTCCAACCCCCTGCAACGCAGGAATCTCAACACGCAGTCCCCCATCCAATCGCGAACCATACTGGACCCTGCTTAGCTTTGCAAATGTGCGAGTAGTTTTACTGCTGCGATGCTAGGAGATCGTGCACACTGCTAGGAGGAATGAGGCCATATGATGGATGTTTATAAAATTAGGCACGGCAGGAAGAAAGCAGATAGGGGAAAGCCCCCCCCTTAACACTAGGACCCCCAGACAGACAATGACGCTGCATGTTGGAAGATTCGGGACAGATCTAAGTAAGTCCTTTTCCACACAGCACATTGTTAAACTATGGAACTCCCTGCCACAGGAGGCAGTGATGGCCGCCATCTTGGATGGCTGTGAAAGAGCAGAAATTCATGGAGGAGAAGGCTTTCAGGGGTTACTAGCCCCAATGGCTATGTCCTTCCTCCACAGTTGGACCCTTACCTTTCCCGCCCCAACCTGGCCACAGTGATCCATGCGACGGTCACCTCCAGGCTTGACTACTGTAATTCGCTCTACGTGGGGCTGTCCTTGAAGCTGTCCCAGAAACTCCAGCGGGTGCAGAATGCTGCAGCTAGGCTCCTCACGGGGTCCTCACTTTTCCAGCTGCACTGGCTCCCGGTGGAGTACAGGGTCAGATTTAAGGTGCTGGTTTTGACCTTTAAAGCCCTTCACGGCCTAGGACCCTCGTACCTACGGGACCGCCTCTCCCGGTATGCCCCGCAGAGGACCTTAAGGTCCATAAATAGCAACACCCTAGAGGTCCCGGGCCCTAAGGATGTCAGATTAGCCTCAACCAGAGCCAGGGCCTTTTCAACACTGGCTCCGGCCTGGTGGAACGCTCTGTCTCGTGAGACCAGGGCCCTGCGGGATCTGATTTCTTTCTGCAGGGCCTGTAAGACAGAGTTGTTCCGCCTGGCCTTTGGCTTGGAGCCAATTTGATTCCCTCCCTCTCTTTCTTTTTCCTTTCTCCTCCTGTGAAGAGGCTGTATCTTAATGTTTTAATGTTGTATTTTAATCTTGTTTTTTAAATTGTATTTTAATCAACTTGTTTTTATTATTGTTAGCCGCCCTGAGCCTGGTCTTGGCTGGGGAGGGTGGGGTATAAATAACATTTATTATTATTAATATTATTCTGAATGATAAAAGGTAAACAAAAAGGACCCCTGGAGTTTTCTTTGCCCTCCCCTTAACAGCATTAAGAACATGGTCTGTTTGCTTCTAGGAGAATGGTGACTCAATGCCACTTCCTTTTATAAACTGTACACACATACACACAAACATAGCTGTCTGGTTTCCTTGTTGCTCACCTCCTCCCATTGGCTAGTTCACCTCCACATGGAAGGAGACCACCCAGTGCTGACAACCACAGCCGCTGGCCCCTGCGTTCTGGCAGGGAAGAGGGATTGGACCGCCTTTATATCAGCACAGCTGCCATGTGCTTTTGTGACATCACAGGCAGTCCACAGCCAATGGCAACAGCTGAGGAGGCATCACCATAACCTCCTTAGACCTCACAATGGTGGATGCAGCTCAACAGCCCTTATCTGTATTGGTTGGTAAAGGTAAAGGACCCCTGGATGGGGTTCCAGCACTCATCTCGCTTTCAGGCCGAGGGAGCCGGCGTTTGTTCACAGACAGCTTTCTAGGTTATGTGGCCCACAGGACTAAACCGCTTCTGCCGCAACGGGACACCGTGAAGGAAACCAGAGCGCACGGAAACGCTGTTTACCTTCCCGCCGGAGTTGTACCTATTTATCTACTTGCACTGGTGTGCTTTCGAACTGCTAGGTTGGCAGGAGCTGGGACAGAGCAACGGGAGCTCACCCCGCCGTGGGGATTCGAACCGCCGACCTTCTGATCAGCAAGCCCAAGAGGCTCAGTGGTTTAGACCACAGCGCCACCACAGGAGAGGAAAGTGCACTTGGGTCCTACTTTTGGCATTCCCACCAGCTTCTGGTTGGCCTTTTTGAGAACAGGATGCTGGACTGGATGCCCCATTGGCCTGATCCTGCAGGCTGCTCTTATGTTCTTGCTCCCTAGCTCATGCTGGTCCCCTCTTCGGGTTCAGACATTTCTTGGGGTCCTGCTTTTGGCTTCCCCAATCCACTAGGAGCCTCCCTCTGGTCCTCCGACACTCTGAGCTCCTCCCCCTCTTCCTCAGGATCGGTCCATCCCCTCACAAGGCCTGCCAAGAAAAATAAAGAATTTATTCATGTATGCTACAACAGCGGCAAGAGTCTTGATAGCACAAGGGATGGAAGAACGAGGAAACCCCGACAAAAGAACAATGGCAAGAGAAATTGATGAACTATGCAGAACTGGCAAAACTGACATACAAACTGCGAGATAAGGACAACTGTGACTTCAAAGAAGAATGGGAACTTTTTACAAATTACTTAAAAAGACAACAAAGGTAAATTAGATAACCAAGAGACGTGTGGTGAATGCGGTGGAAGTCTTTTATAATATTTTAACTAGGATTTATATATCATAATGTTTGAAGTATGAATTTGGAATAATTGATTATGAAAAGTATTTTTTCTCTTCATTCTTTTTCTTGTTTCTTTTATCTTTTGTCTTTCTTTTCTAGTCTGCATTCTGGGAAATAGTGTAGATAAATGTTTTAATGTATGGTTATGCATTGTTTCTATTTCTTTTTTTCTTTTCATATTTTTGTAACATTTAATAAAATTTAATAAAAAAAAAAAAGACAACAAAATGAATTGGACTCCTTGGCAGGTTTTGAATAAACATACACAAATTTATTGACTGTTTACATAGTAGACACATAATTTAAGGATTTATACAATTTTGCAGTATGCAGAGAATAACATGTGCTGAGAAATCAGAGAGAGGAGCTGAGGGAAGTCTTGGGGGGGTTGATGGGGGGAAGGGGGGAAATAATGAATATGATATGTTTTGATATTTTGTTATGTTGAAATTGTTAATAAAGGATTGGTCCATCCCCTCCATGACTTCGCCATAGGGTTCAGGACATGAATGGACCGGCCTCCACTCAGTTGCTTTCCCCCCACCCCTCACAGGACCACATCCGTGGAGCAGGTGCTTGCTGGGAACATCTCCCGTACGCCACGAAGAACCGCCAGACCCAGGCGACCGTAATTTCTAAGCACAAAGAGGACTGAGTACCTCGACACATCAGAGGAGCCCCTTGCTTCCCATGGTAAAACCAGGAACAGATTCCAGGTGTAGCTTTGTGATTATTATATACCAAGAAGTCGGCCATCTGTGGATGGTGTGTTCCTGCATCGTTTTCTTTCTTCCGTGGATGAGAAAGGGCGATTTGGGGGCGGGGGTGGGGGGGTGGGAACCATTAAGTGTTATTAGGTGAAGAGAATTTGGATTCCTGTTCCAAACTTCTCCCTTCAGGCTAGGAACAATTTCCTGCCGCTCTTCCCTCCCCCAACCCCGCCAGACACTTTGAGATGAGGAAAGGACTTCAAAGAGGCGTTCTCAAAGCACACCCTCGCCGCCCTCCCCCCCCGAAAAACGACAGGCATCCGTTAGCGAAAGTATCCATGTTGTGATACGCCACAGATTGCTGCGGTTTGCAAACCAGGCCCCGGGGTCACGAACGGCTGGATCTGCAGTTAATGCGACTTGACAGCTCGTATTATATTCTCTCACTCATGGATGGTAGAGCCAGGTCCCGTTACATACGGAGGAAATCCCTCCGGGTCAAGGTGGAAGAAACATAGCGGAGAGATCCCTATTCCCTGGGAAGCCATTACCCTCCAGAGCACCGTACGGCACACACGTGCTCGTACGCCTTCTGCCTGTGCCAAGAGAAGGAATTAGCAGCAAAGATTGAGCCCGGGCAGCAAGTGCGGAAATGCAAGAGGTGTCGCCGGTGGCAGAAGCAGCCCAGCATTTTCCAGCCCGAGGGCTGCATTCACTTCTGAACATGGCTCAGTACCGCACGATACCTCAAGGACCGCCTCTTTCCATATGAACCTACCCGGACCCTGAGATCATCTTCTGAGGCCCTCCTTCGTGTGCCTCCTCCTCGAAAGGTCCAGAGGGTGGCAACACGAGAACGGGGCCTTCTCTGCAGTGGCTCCCCGTCTGTGGAATGCTCTCCCCCCAGGATGTTCACCTGGCACCTTCATTATACACCTTTAGATGCCAGGCAAAAATGTTTCTTTATAACGAGGCCTTTGGTTGATCTATTGTCTTTGATCATGGGGTTTTCTTGGCAGGGATACTGGAGTGGCTTGCCGGTTCCTGCTCCAGGTGGATCACGTTTGGTCAAAACTCTCCACTATGACCTGTCCATCTTGGGTGGACCTGCACAGCATAGCTCATAGCTTCTCTGAGTTATTCAAGCCCCTTCACCATGGCAAGGCAGTGATCCATGAAGGAGGAGACTCTTGAGAGTCCCATGGACTGCAAGAAGATCAAACCTATCCATTCTTAAGGAAATCAGCTCTGAGTGCTCACTGGAAGGACAGATGGTGAAGCTGAGGCTCCAGTACTTTGGCCACCTCATGAGAAGAGAAGACTCCCTGGAAAAGACCCTGATGTTGGGAAAGAAGGGGAACAAGGAGAAGGGGACGACAGAGGACGAGATGGTTGGACAGTGTTCTTGAAGCTACCAGCATGAGTTTGACCAAACTGCGGGAGGCAGTGGAAGACAGGAGTGCCTGGCGTGCTCTGGTCCAGGGGGTCACGAAGAGTCGGACACGACTAAACAACTAAACAACAACAAATTGGTTGATCTAAGAGATGCAGGTGGTGCTGTGGGTTAAACCACAGAGCCTAGGGCTTGCCGATCAGAAGGTCGGCGGGTCAAATCCCTGCGACAGAGTGAGCTCCCGTTGCTCGATCCCTGCTCCTGCCCACCTAGCAGTTCAAAAGCACGTCAAAGTGCAAGTAGATAAATAGGTACTGCTCCGGTGGGAAGGTAAACGGCGTTTCCGTGCGCTGCTCTGGTTCGCCAGAAGCGGCTTAATCATGCTGGTCACATGACCTGGAAGCTGTACGCCGGCTCCCTCAGCCAATAAAGCGAGATGAGCGCCGCAACCCCAGAGTCGGTCACGACTGGACCTAATGCTCAGGGGTCCCTTTACCTTTACCTTTTGGTTGATCTTATTGACATCCAACACCCTTTTAGAATGTTGCCTTTTGGGGGGAGGGGTTATTGGGTTACTGCTTTTGGTTTGATTTTATATGTTGGGGTCTTGTTGTGAACCTTCCTGAGACCTTCGGGTATAGGTTGGTGTATAAGTTGAATAAATAATGATAATGATGATGGGAGTTGTAGTCTAGCAATATTAGGAGGGCTACAGGTTCTCCCATCTCTGCTACTGACGTAGGACTGGATTTTGGAGAGAAGGACTTTCAGATGAGCTTCAGCCCTGGTTAAAAACTTCTTCTGTACTCCGCTTGGAGGTCCGTGAAGCTGCCCCAGGGTCCTTTGCAAGGGATCTTAACACACTTTGGAAAGAAAATGGAAAAAAATGCCATGGGGTTTGTGGGGAGCGACGGCGGGCAAGGTATATTCCAGCTTCACACAGTAGAATAGTGTTTTCCATTAAACTTGAGGCTGTTCATTCTTTTAATGAGCTGAGTACTGCAGTCCCGTACACATTTCAGGTAACAGGATCTCCCTCTGTACGTTTCTTTTTTCTTAACAGTGTCTGATTTAGGGATCTGCAAGGCTGTTTCCACGATTTCCAAGTTATTCCACCTTCGGTGACTCCTGTGAAGTCTGCAACAGAGCTCCCCTGGAAAAACTATTGAAAAGCAAACCCGCTTTCACGTCCCCTATAAAATTCGGTTCTGTTCAGGGTAATTCTCCATTCTAGACATTCAAAACCTTTACCGAATTGTTAAAAGCCATTTATCCACCGTGCGATTAAAGGACAGAATATTTTGGCAAAGGCATAGATCTTTCCTTCAGACGGGGAGTATTTTGTCTACCTCATTTACAGCCTGTACAAAGCCATATTTTTTAACATTTGAGACTCCGCTATTTTTCCATTTTCGTTCCTACCTACCCTGACCCATAAACCAGTTTTACTTCCCTTGGTGCCACAGCCTGTCAGTCCAGATTAGAAAGTTTGGGGACTCGAACAACCCACTAATATTGACACCCACATTTCTTTTCCCCATCCAACGTTTATGACCCAACAGCGGATTTCTTTCACTTTTTGAAAGAATCACTGTGCCAAACACGATTGTGGAAGAAAGGCTGGGTGGTTGTTGTTTAGTCGTTTAGTTGTGTCCGACTCTTCGTGACCCCCTGGACCAAAGCACGCCAGGCACTCCTGTCTTCCACTGCCTCCCCCAGTTTGCTCAAACTCATGCTGGCAGCTTCGAGAACACTGTCCAACCATCTCGTCCTCTGTCGTCCCCTTCTCCTTGTGCCCTCCATCTTTCCCAACATCAGGGTCTTTTCCAGGGAGTCTTCTCTTCTCATGAGGTGGCCAAAGTCTTGGAGCCTCAGCTTCAGGATCTGTCCTTCCAGTGAGCACTCATGGCTGATTTCCTTCAGAATGGCTGTGTTTGATCTTCTTGCAGTCCATGGGACTCTCAAAAGTCTCCTCCAGCACCATAATTCAAAAGCATCCATTCTTCGGCGATTTTTATTTTATTTTATTTTTTATTTTATTTTTTGTTAAATATGAAAAAGAGGCCTTATGAAAATTCACCAGCATTTTAGTGCAAATTGTATACAGACGTTTGTATTACTCTGCAAGCAATCTTCCCTAATACATTTTAAAATCTTGTTTTCACACATACTTGCATTTTTATACACACACTTCACTGCAGGATAGACTTTTCTGTCCACATTGCTTGCCTGGAGAACTGCATTGCAAAATTCAGAGAAGTGCGAGTTTTGAAGCACAGCCGTGTTTCAATTCTCATATTATTTCAGACACAGACTTACCAAGCTAAACATTGACCATTTATAAAAATAATAGCAGATTTTAATTCCTCACGCCCCAAAACATATTTTTAAGACCCCCTCAATGAAGAAATTTGCAAAAATTAAGTTTCACACCCCCCTAAAATGGCATGCTAGTAATGACTCGTGAGTGGCCTACCTTGCAGAAAAAAATAATTTTTGCAATTTCACAGTGCTGCAGAATTTAGCATCCACTAGCAGAACATGGGTGCAGAATTTCGAATTCTGTAAAGCAACACAAGTCTTTCAGAACTCAGAGCAGATACAGCATTAGTAAGGGAGTTGAATCTTCTGTTTTTAATGACTGATGTTTTAATGTATTTTTAATCATTTGTTGGAAGCTGCCCAGAGTGGGCAGGGTAGAAATAAGCTATTATTATTGTTTGTTTGTTTGTTGTTGTTGTTGCTATACTTCTTTATCCAAAGTGTTCAATATCCTTTTTGTTTAACAAATAGAATTGGGGTAGGTAGGTGGGTGTATGTTGTGGATGAAAAGAATGGATTTTTATTTTCTTTAGAAAATGATCTCACCTAACTGTAAACGTCCCCCAATAGTCGCTCGTAGATAAATCACTGGTGCTTATTTTATTAGTGGTTTTAAATACAATAGCAGCATTTTTATGATTTGGCCCTCGACTCCATTCCCTGCCCTGACACAGCACCTCTCCATCGGAGTTGGCTGCGGCCGTCAAACAAGGCTGGATCCCATTACAAACGCAGGAAAGGAAGAACACCTTACGAAAGCGAAGGGAAAAGAAGAAGAAATTTGTTTGTTGCAGAGAATCCAGCCGCTTAAGAGCCCTTAAAAGAAACCTTGTGTGCGTTCCAACTTGTCGGCTGAGAACAACCCGAAACTATTCCATCTGTGCTGAGGCATAGAAATGCCTTATCTGTTTGGCCCCGGATCAGAGACTCGACAATCTGGCTAAGAAGGGCTGGCAGATCTGGTGAGACAGCCAGGTGGAACGTGCTTGCTATTTAATTAAAAGGGCTGGCCTTAGAAGTGAAGAGATTCTGTAGAAATGGCTGGTCCTGATTGCTTTGCTTAGTATGGATTTCCCCAACCTGGTTCCTACCAGATGTAGGAAGAATGTAAGGACAGAAGGAGAGCCCTTTTGGATCAGAACAAACTCCCATCTGGCTAAGGTCTGCCCTCCATAGTTAGAGGCATCAGTGCTTCTGAATACCAGTTTAGCTTGCCGATCAGAAGGTCAGCGGTTCAAATCCCCATGACAGGGTGAGCTCCTGTTGCTCTGTCCCAGCTCCTGCCAACCTAGCAGTTCGAAAGCACACCAGTGCAAGTAGATAAATAGGTACCACTGTGGTGGGAAGGTAAACAGTGTTTCCACACACTCTGGCTTCTGTCTGTGGGATGGTTTACTTTAGCAGTTAAACAATCCCCTTTATAAGTTTATGCAGCGATCAGCTTGTTTCCACTGAGTTTCCATTGAGCACATGGATTGATAATATGGACAGATTAGCTACATATGAATGAATTACATGTCGGCACAAAATACGAATGGATAAATATGAAGAAATCTGGAACGAATATTTAAGCGATAAGGTGGATAGTGGTGGGAAGTAGGGGGGAGGAGAGAGAGGTGAGGAAATATTGTTTAAAAAGGTGTAGTCATAGGTATACCAGTGTATTCAAATCTGAATTGTCAAATTGTGTTATTAGTGCTATTATGGTTTTTGTTGTATGTGTCTTTTGCAGTTGTTGTTTGTATCGAAAAAATGATTAAATAAAACAAAAACAACAATCCCCTTTATAAGTTTATGCAGCGATCAGCTTGTTGCTGACTCGTCTGAGTTCTACTAGCAAAGATGCCTTCCTGGTTAAAAATCCCCTTGAATCCCTCTTAAAGAGTACACACATAAATCTGATTCATGTTAATATAAAACTATTTTCCTCTCAGATTCATTCAGGTTTACAGAACCATGCCTGAAAGCAGGCTTAGGTTACATAACGAGCAAATGAACTATACCAGAGGGACGTTGGTCCTGAGGCGACTGCAACTGAGCAGTTATCTTTCAAAACTACAAGCAACTGACAAAGTGGTTGTCACAGCGACTGGTTAGAACATGGAGGCCGTTAGTCCTCTGTCGGAATGCTGCACTTGACGGCACCTTTACATCCCACACTGTCATGGTGTTCTGTTGCGCCAGAAGTGGCTTAGTCCTGCTGGCCACACTACTGATTCAAAGTGTTGGTGTTGACCTTTAAAGCCCTAAACGGCCTCGGCCCAGTATACCTGAAGGAGCGTCTCCACCCCCATCGTTCTGCCCGGACGCTGAGGTCCAGCGCTGAGGGCCTTCTGGCGGTTCCCTCATTGCGAGAAGCAAAGCTACAGGGAACCAGGCAGAGGGCCTTCTCGGTAGTGGCGCCCGCCCTGTGGAACGCCCTCCCATCAGATGTCAAAGCGATAAATAACTACCTGACATTTAGAAGGCATCTTAAGGCAGCCCTGTTCAGGGAAGCTTTTAATCTGTGATATTTTACTGTATTTTTTGTTTCTATGGAAGCCGCCCAGAGTGGCTGGGGAAACCCAGCCAGATGGGCGGGGTACAAATAATAAATTATTATTATTATTATTATTATTATTACCTGGAAAGCTGTCTGTGGACAAACGCCGGCTCCCTCAGCCTGAAAGCGAGATGAGCGCCGCAACCGCATAGTCACCTTTGACTGGACTTAACTGTCCAGGGGTCCTTTACCTTTACCTTTTACACCTGTTCTGCCCTCCAAAGTTGGTGGCATCAGTGCTTCTGAATACCAGTTGCTGGAAACCACTGGAGGGGAGAGCGTTGCTCTTGTGCTTGTATCCTGTTTGGGAGTTTTTCACAAGCATCTGGGTGATGCCCATGAGAACAGAATGCTGGAGTAGATGGGCCATTAGCCTAATAATACCCCATCATCTGACTAAGTTGCCCCAGCCACTCTGGATGGCTTCCAACATAAACATAATAAAACAAAATGCTTTCCTAGACAGGGTTGCCTTCAGATGTCTTCTAAAGCTTGTATAGTTACATATCTGCTTGGCTCGAGGGTCGCCATAATGCCATACTGTAAGGAGTGCGTACAGGAGTTGGGCCCTGTGACCAGTAGGGCTTCGCAGGACTGGGGCTTTCCTAAGTTTGTTCTGGAGAGGCAAGGTGCAGCCGCACAGGTGAGGCTGCTTGGTAACTCGCTGCACCTGATGGCAAGAGCCGGAAGGGATATAAGGTCAGCATTTCCCTTCGGCTCTTTGCCACAGCAACACGCTTCCTGCCTTGCTGTGTTTGGCTCCTTGCTTCCTGATCCTCGGACCTCGACTTCTTGACTCCTTGCTTCTTGATCCTCAGTCCCTTGACTTTGTGACTCCCTGCTTCCTGACCCTCGGACCCCTGGCTTCTGGACTCTCGTTCCTGCTCCCACCCCGCCATCTTGCCCCGGTCCCAAAGTCCTCAGCCAGGACTTTGATCGCCCGTAGACCAGACAGTGACACATACCCTCCAATATTTCTTCGATTAAAATAAGGACGTCGTAAGGAAAAGCGGGACATTCCGGGATCAAATAAAAAAACTGGGATGGCGTCTGTAAATCCAGGACTGTCCCTGGAAAATAGGGACACTTAGAGGGTCTGAAATGGGCCATTGCCCGGATCCTGCAGGATCTTCGTAGGTCCTTGTGTTATGGTTAAAGTCCTCAAAGCACTGGTGTTGTTAACAGCTGCTTGAAGGTTTCTCTTTAACCTTTTCTCCCCAACACACAGCTCTCCCTCCTCTTTGGAAGATAAGCTGCTGTACAGGGTCAAACTGTCAGTCCATCAACTAGCAGTGGCCAGAGGCTCAGGCAAATCTCTTCCCCAACCACATCAGGAACTGCTGGGGCTTGAACCCAAGACTTTTCCATGCAAGGCAGATGCTTTCTCAATGAGCTGCAGCCATCCTCCTCGCTCCATCCGCCCTGTAGCCTGCAGTCTTGGCAAGGAGTCCCTCGCAGGTTAGGCTCCGCGATCTGTAAACACTCAAGTAATTATAGCATTAAAACAAGAGACACAGATTACGGGGGTCCCGATAGCATCACTCTCACCTGGAGTAATGAGAAAGGGAGTTGGGGCTTTTATGAGCACAGCCACCATTATGAGCCTGAAGAGGTCTGCAGGTTGTGAAATTGCCTGCCTTGTCATCTTCGGGACAGCTCAGGATTATTAAAGAAAACAGTGCAGGAACGCAGGGAGCTGACTTTGTAACGCTGAGCCAGAACGTCGGTCTGTTTAGCTTAGTATTTGCTACTCTGAATGACAACCAGAGGCCTACGCCAGTGGCCAAAATTGTAGAAACATTTTGGGGAAAGTGTAGTTCTGAGGTTTGATGGCTCATAACACCACTTATTTTGGAATAATGCCATAAAATTATATATCAGGGGAAAGATAATTTAATGAAGACTGTAATGCAACAAAGTTTGTTCAATTATCTGTATTCTCTCAAAAGTTATAGCCAAATAACCAGAAAAAGAAAGCACAATTTGCTTAGGTTGATACGCAGTAGCTCCCCCCCCCCCAGCTTGTTAAATGGCTTGGGATGCATATACCTAAAGGGGCAACTCTCCCGATACCAGTTTTTTAGCTTTCTTTGCCCTCCCCTTAACAGCATTAAGAACATGGTCTGTTTGCTTCTAGGAGAATGGTGACGCAATGCCACTTCCTTTTATAAACTGTACACACAGGGGTAACTGTGCCCCTGAAGGACCAGGTGCGCAGCCTGGGAGTCATTTTGGACTCACAGGTGTCCATGGAGGCGCATGTCAATTTTGTGTCCAAGGTGGCTGTCTATCAACTCCATCTGGTACGCAGGATGAGACCCTACCTGCCCGCAGAGTGTCTCTCCAGAGTGGTGCATGCTCTAGTTATCTCTCTCTTGGATTACTGCAATGCGCTCTATGTGGGGCCACCTTTGAAGGTGACACGGAAACTACAACTAATCCAGAAAGCGGCAGCTAGACTGGTGACTGGGAGCGGCTGCTGAGACCACATAACACCGGTCTTGAAAGACCTACATTGGCTCCCAGTACATTTCCAAGCATAATTCAAAGTGTTGGTGCTGACCTTTAAAGCCCTAAATGGCCTCAGTCCAGTATATCTGAAGGAGCGTCTCCACCCCCATGGTTCTACCCGGATACTGAGGTCCAGCGCCAAGGGTCTTCTGGTGGTTTCCTCTCTGTGAGAAGCCAAGCTACAGGGAACCAGGCAGAGGGCCTTCTTGGTGGTGGCACCCGCCCTGTGGAACGCCCTCCCACCAGATGTCAAAGAGAACAAAAACCACCAGACTTTTAGAAGACATCTGAAGGCAGTCCTGTTTAGGGAAGCTTTTAATGTTTGATGCATTACGGTATTTTAATATTTTGTTGGAAGCCGCCCAGAGAGGCTGGGGAGGCTGGGCGGTGTATTATTCATTCATTCATTCATTCATTCATTCATTCATTCCCTGTCCATCTGACTGGGTTGCCCCAGCCACTCTGGGCAGCTGCCAACATATATAAAATAATTAAACATTAAAAAGCTTTCCTATACAGTGGTACCTCGGGTTACAGATGGGCGGGGTATAAATTATTATTATTATTATTATTATTATTATTATTATTATTATTCACATACACACAAGTGTAGCTGCCTGGTCTCCTTGTTGCTCACCTCCTTCCACTGGCCAGTTCACCTCCAGAATGGAAGGAGACCACCCAGTGCTGACAACCACAGCCATTGGCCCCTGCGTTCTGCCAGGGAAGAGGGAGTGGACCGCCTTTATATCAACACAGCTGCCATGTGCTTTTGTGACATCACAGGCAGTCCACAGCCAATGGCAACAGCTGAGGAGGCATCACCATAATCACCTGGTTAAGTCCAGTCAAAGGTGACTATGGGGTTGCGGCACACATCTCGCTTTCAGGCTGAGGGAGCCAGAGTTTGTCCACAGACAGCTTTCTAGGTAATGTGGCCAGCAGGACGAAACTTCTGGCACAACGGGACACCGTGACGGAAACCAGAGTGCATGGAAATGCTGTTTACCTTCCTGCCGCAGCAGTACCTATTTATCTACTTGCACTGGCGTGCTTTCAAGCAGCTAGGTTGGCAGGAGCTGGAACAGAGCAATGGGAGCTCACCGCATTGCGGGGATTCGAACCGCCAACCTTCTGATCGGCAGGCCCAAGAGGCTCAGTGGTTTAGACCACATTATCATGTTAAGTGTCCGTGTTAAGTGTATTGGTACCAAGGAAGGACACACTATATTTTGGAAGGAGTATTTTTCAGCCCAGTGGCTGCATTCCTTTGTGTCCTCATGAGAAGCAGCATGACTTTCTCCCAATATGCACATTTGTATATGTCATATCCAGGGCCATGTTAAGCATATCCGGTTCAATGGCGCCCCCCCCCCCCCCGTTTCCCAGAGTTATCAACCATTTCCCAAGCCTCTGCAGTGGATAGCTCTCCTCCCGTGGAGGCTTGGGAGGCAAGCTGCATGCCCACCAGCCATATGGTTGATGGAGTGCAGCTGGCGGGCATGCAGGAGGGAAAGGGGAGGCTGCCAGCATAGCCGCGCAGCTCCCCCACTCACTGGGGCGCCCCTGAGAGGCCGGCGCCCTGGAGCAACGCGCTAGTAAACCCTATGGGAAAGACAGCTCTGGTCATATCACAGCAAAGCAATTTCCATCTTGGGTGATTTTTTAAGAATTATATGCAGTTTTATGCACGCTATACCTCCGCATATGCATCTTTGGGGTAGCTCAGTCAGTAGAGATGGAGACTCCTTGTCTCAGGGTCAAGCTCCACATTGGGCGAATGATCACTGCATTGCAGGGGTTTGGACTAGATGAGTCTTGTCGTCCCTTCCAACTCTATAATTCTTTGATTTCTTGGCCGGATAGCTGCATCGCAAAATTCAGGGAAGTGCAAATTTTGAAGGATGGTTGTGTTTCAGTCTGAGCATTGTTCCCGGCAGCGTAAATTATGTAGGTTCACCTTTAAACGTGAACTGAATTGAGTTCCTCCCCCATCCCTACCAACAATAAAGATCTCTTGGCCACTTTGCAGTGGTTACTTACATATCAGGTTAGTGTCATTCCCGCTGCCTTGCCTTTCCAGATCCAAACAGGAATGTTTATTGTTCTGCCTCTCAAGAGCAGAGCTAAGGGCAGCTAAAAATACCCTCTGATTTCTTTCTATATTTATGTGATGTTGTTTACACGGGCTCTTACAAGCAGGAACTGGCAAATGGTTGCAAGAGGGAGGTGTGGAGAGGCTCCAAATAAAGGCCAGTTTGAGCTTGCCTTCCCGCACAGAGAAGATAGCAGAGTGCGTTGAAATATATGCAGCGAGGGCATATTGTCAACACACAACAGGCCTGGGTTTCTGGCAGTTCATGTCCATTTCTTTAAAAGTATACAAGGACTCAATGCAGGCAAAAGCAAAGTCGTGCTTGTGACCTTCCCGCATTTTGAGCACCAATCAAAAATTCTTGCATCGGCGGTATAATTGCAGCCCAAAGATTGATCACACATTAGCAGTTAGGTATCTAGGTACTTTCCCAGTAGTGATGTATGGAAGTGAGAGCTGGACCATAAAGAAGGCTGATTGCCGAAGAATTGATGCTTTTGAATTATGGTGCTGGAGGAGACTCTTGAGAGTCCCATGGACTGCAAGAAGATCAAACCTCTCCATTCTGAAGGAAATCAGCCCTCAGTGCTCACTGGAAGGACAGATCGTGAAGCTGAGGCTCCAGCACTTTGGCCACCTCATGAGAAGAGAAGACTCCCTGGAAAAGACCCTGATGTTGGGAAAGATGGAGGGCACAAGGAGAAGGGGACGACAGAGGACGAGATGGTGGGACAGTGTTCTCGAAGCTACCAGCATGAGTTTGACCAAACTGCGGGAGGCAGTGGAAGACAGGAGTGCCTAGCGTCCTCTGGTCCAGGGGGTCACGAAGAGTCGGACACAACTAAACAACTATCTATGCAAATGGGATGCAGGTGGCGCTGTGGGTTAAACCACAGAGCCTAGGACTTGCCGATCAGAAGGTCGGCGGTTCGAATCTCCGCGACGGGATGAGCTCCCATTGCTCGGACCCTGCTCCTGCCAACCTAGCAGTTCGAAAGCACGTCAAAGTGCAAGTAGATAAATAGGTACCGCTCCGGTTCGCCAGAAGTGGCTTAGTCATCTGGCCACATGACCCGGAAGCTGTACGCTGGCTCCCTCAGCCAATAAAGCAAGATGAGCGCCGCAACGCCAGAGTCGGTCACGACTGGACCTAATGGTCAGGGGTCCCTTTACCTATCTATGCAAAGCGCAGGTGTCAATCAGAAATGAAATATCATGATTTTGAGTGAGGATAGATTATGTGTGCTGTGGGAAAAGTGGAGGGAGAAATGTTCCCTTAATAGAAGAATTTGGGGCATCCAATGAAGGTGAACAACGCTGGAAGATTTAGGGTAATGAAAGAGAGTGCTTTTCCACACAGCACATAGTTAAACGATGGCATTCGCTCCCACCAATGTGGAGGACTTGAAAAGAGGATTAGACAAATTCATGGAGGACAAGTTGATGAATGCCTACTAGCCGGGATGGAAATGTTCTGCTTCCAGTGCATACCTTCCAACATTCCTCAGATGAAAACAGGGATATGCCTCACTCCCCACCAAGTTTTGTCTTCCACCCTTGCAGAACATTTCTTATCCAAAGAAGGGACACAGCACACAAACTCTTCACCTCTGCTCTTTGGTAGATTTACGAAAAGAAAAACACACACCAATACATAAATTTTAGAACGGGGCAAGATTAGATGCACATATTGTAGTAGGGTTAAAGACTACTGGGAAATGATATGCAATGAATTGAAAAGACTGTTCAAAATAACTTTAATTTTAAAAAAACCCAGAAGATTTTCTTTTGGGAATTATAGGGACAGAACTACCAAAATTGTATAGAAATTTATTTATGTGTGCTTCTACAGAAGCAAGAATGTTACTTGCCCCAAAGAAGAATGGCAACTTAAGTTGACAGAATATGTGTAGCTTGCAGACTTAACATACAGAATAAGAGAACAAGAACATACGTTTAGAGAAGATTGGAAAACGTTTATTGAATATATGGGAAATAACTTTATACAGCTGAAAATGCTGGCAGCATTAAGATAAATCCAACAGTGTAAATAGGTTTTGACAGATGTAATAATGGAATACTTAATGGCATAGTTTCTGTAAAATACGCAGGGATTTATGATATGTAAAATGAACCATAGAAAGAGAAGAAGGGGAGTCATTGATATCTTATGCAAAAATGAGGTTATTGAGTTGTCCCACCCTCCATATTCTCCCCATCTGGTCCCACCGGATTTCTTTCTTTTTCCAAAACTGAAATCTGCACTGAAAGGGCACAGATTTTCCAACATTTCACACTTCCAAGCTGCTGTGACGAGGGAACGGAAAGCAGTACGAAAAAAGGACTTCTCCAGCAGTTTCTAACAGTCCTACGAATGTTGTCAACGGTGCATTGTATCAGAGGGGGCCTACTTTGAAGGCCTGTAAGGTACGTATGTTCGAATATTTCTCTCTGTCCGATTTCTGTGGCCATTCACCGAACTTTCCGGCCACACCTTGTACGAACGCATTAGTGACAATAACACATAAGACTGAATTGGATTGGGGGAATTGCGACAAAAATAAAAATGTGTCCTTTGCAAAATGCACATCATTTGCACATGTATATTATATGAAATGCAGAGGAAATGCATGTGATTTGTTTTTTTTTAGGAGAACATATTTTTTTTCATTAAAAAATCGCAAACTGATGTGGTGGAAATGTGGTAAAATGAATTCAAGTTTGGAAAGCTGCAAAACGGAGAGAAATCGAAAGGGACAGGTCCGTTTCTCTTTGTGTGGGAATTTCCTTTGATTCTCCCCTTTGCAGGCTGCAGAACCTGCTGCCTCCAATTTCGCCTCCTCTTGCAAAACCCATCATCATCATCAACTCGTCCTCTCCCGCAGAACGTGCAACATGATCGCAGTAATCTCTTGCTCTCTCCCTGTACCCTTTCGAGTTCTGTTATAATCTTTCTGTGCGCGAAACAACCTCTGATTTATACCAGCACCGGAGCCCTGAAGCCTTTCTCTCCCCCCCACCCCCCCTTTTAATTCTGCACCTGCATTGTGCGGCTAAAGGCTTCGGGGATTGCAATAACTCTCCCCAATCTCTTTCCCAGGCAGTGCGGTGCGCAGCTCAATCCCACTTTAGGTGAGATTTCCTCTTCTGCTCCTTAACAAAAAATAAATAAAAATGGCTTCGAGTGATGTTAGAAGCCATCAGTTAGCCAGATGCTGAAATGAATAGGTTGGAAATCCTACCAAAATGTTTGTGATACGCTCTGTCTCTTTGCTTAGCACATGCAATAGTGGAATCTTTGCTTTCATGCCTATTAACCACGTACCGTATTTTTTGCTCTATAAGACTCACTTTTTCCCTCCTAAAAAGTAAGGGGAAATGTGTGTGCGCCTTATGGAGCGAATGCAGGCTGCACAGCTATCCCAGAAGCCAGAACAGGAAGAGGGATTGCTGCTTTCACTGCGCAGCGATCCCTCTTGCTGTTCTGGCTTCTGAGATTCAGAATATTTTTTTCCTTGTTTTCCTCATCCAAAAACTAGGTGCGTCTTGTGGTCTGGTGCATCTTATAGAGCGAAAAATACGGTAATTTCTGCTTCAGCTTGAAGCAGGTGACGCAGCCGGCTGCACTTCCATACCAGTCATAGATGAGTTGGAAGGGGTAGGGTTGCTGGAATTTCCTGGACATATACAGAATACCGTAGTCAGCAGCAGTGTCCAGGCAGAAATCAGGAAAACCGTCCGGGGAAATCTGGCATCCCATGTATGGCAACCCATGTTGTCAGTGTTGCCTTTGCCGATTTGCCATAAAATTGCGAATTTACAAAAAACAACAACCCAGCAACTTTGAGCAAAACTTTTTTAAAAAGCTCAACTGCTGTCCAGAGTCCAGTCCCCGGCTTGATAACACAGTGAGCGTAGTTAATTAAAAAGGATGGTTTATTGTGAAAATAAACAGATAGCTCTGGGCGGCTTTACACAGCCTTCTCCACTACAGTGGTACCTCAGGTTAAGTACTTAATTCATTCCGGAGGTCCGTACTTAACCTGAAACTGTTCTTAACCTGAAGCACCACTTTAGCTAATGGGGCCTCCTGCTGCCGCTGCACCGCCAGAGCACAATTTCTGTTCTCATCCTGAAGCAAAGTTCTTAACCTGAAGCACTATTTCTGGGTTAGCGGAGTCTGTAACCTGAAGAAGAAGAAGAAGAAGAAGAAGAAGAAGAAGAAGAAGAAGAAGAAGAAGAGGAGGAGGAGGAGGAGGAGGAGGAGTTTGGATTTGATATCCCGCTTTATCACTACCCAAAGGAGTCTCAAAGCGGCTAACATTCTCCTTTCCCTTCCTCCCCCACAACAAACACTTTGTGAGGTGAGTGGGGCTGAGAGACTTCAAAGAAGTGTGACTGGCCCAAGGTCACCCAGCAGCTGCATGTGGAGGAGCGGCGACGTGAACCCGATTGAGGCCGGTTCACCAGATTACGAGACTACCACTCTTAACCACTACACCACACTGGCACTCTGAAGCGTATGTAACCTGAAGCGCTTGTAACCTGAGGTACCACTGTATCAATTAAGATGGCCCTTCTGAAGACTGCTTCCGGCAAGACCAGAAGTAATGGAACTTTTGCTTCATACTTCTTTTGTTTTGCTTCCTATCTTGCAGCCCTCCTATTCATCGAGACCTTGGACTGAGTGGGTCAGCTCCCTCCTCTTCCCCATTCTCTGAGAGGCTGTCTCTTAACTCTTTCCCGTAACCAAACAATTTAACCCCTGTGTAGCAAAGAATAGTCAGTAATATCCAAGGCAACACGATGACCAAATACAATGATATGATATCAATATACACTCTTTATATAATATGAAAGTCAGCAGTGACTACATAACTTTATGACCACTGCTCCATAGCAATTGTTATTAGACTTTTCCGTTCACCATATAGATGGGTTTATGAAGCCTTTCTGTATCCTTCTGCTGTGCTGAAGAAGAATTCCACGAAAAGGTGGGTATATCCGGAATCGCTGTTCACAACGTCTGTTTGCGAACTACTTGCGAACTACTAAGTCATGTCAGACTAACCTGATCTCGTTTTTTGACAGAATTACAAGCCTGGTGGATGAAGGGAACGCAGTGGATGTAGCCTACCTTGATTTCAGCAAGGCATTTGACAAGGTGCCCCATGATATTCTTGTAAAGAAGCTGGTAAAATGCGGTCTTGACTATGCTACCACTCAGTGGATTTGTAACTGGCTGACTGACCGAACCCAAAGGGTGCTCATCAATGGTTCCTCTTCATCCTGGAGAAGAGTGACTAGTGGGGTGCCACAGGGTTCTGTCTTGGGCCCGGTCTTATTCAACATCTTTATCAACGACTTGGGTGATGGACTCAAGGGCATCCTGATCAAATTTGCAGATGACACCAAATTGGGAGGGGTGGCTAACACCCCAGAGGACAGGATCACACTTCAAAACGACCTTGACAGATTAGAGAACTGGGCCAAAACAAACAAGATGAATTTTAACAGGGAGAAATGTAAAGTATTGCACTTGGGCAAAAAAATGAGAGGCACAAATACAAGATGGGGGACACCTGGCTTGAGAGCAGTACATGTGAAAAGGATCTAGGAGTCTTGGTTGACCACAAACTTCACATGAGCCAACAGTGTGACGCGGCAGCTAAAAAGCCAATGCAATTCTGGGCTGCATCAATAGGAGTATAGCATCTAGATCAAGGGAAGTAATAGTGCCACTGTATTCTGCTCTGGTCAGACCTCACCTGGAGTACTGTGTCCAGTTCTGGGCACCACACTTCAAGAAGGACATTGACAAACTGGAACGTGTCCAGAGGAGGGCAACCAAAATGGTCAAAGGCCTGGAAACGATGCCTTATGAGGAACGGCTAAGAGAGCTGGGCATGTTTAGCCTGGAGAAGAGGAGGTTAAGGGGTGATATGATAGCCATGTTCAAATATATAAAAGGATGTCACATAGAGGAGGGAGAAAGGTTGTTTTCTGCTGCTCCAGAGAAGCGGACACGGAGCAATGGATCCAAACTACAAGAAAGAAGATTCCACCTAAACATTAGGAAGAACTTCCTGACAGTAAGAGCTGTTCGACAGTGGAATTTGCTGCCAAGGAGTGTGGTGGAGTCTCCTTCTTTGGAGGTCTTTAAGCAGAGGCTTGACAACCATATGTCAGGAGTGCTCTGATGGTGTTTCCTGCTTGGCAGGGGGTTGGACTCGATGGCCCTTGTGGTCTCTTCCAACTCTATGATTCTATGATTCTATGATTCTATGATTCTACTTTGGCAGCGTTGGACGCCATAAGCAAAGCTTTACAGCCTGTTTTCACCAGATAAGAATCTGATAAATTGCTTCTTTCAGAGACTTGCATAGTCTTCAAAGACTTTCAGAGTGTATATTGATATTGTATCATTGTATGTGGTCATCGTGTTGCCTTGGATATTACTGACCATTCTTAACTCTTTCCCGCCTGTTTGCGCTTCCAACGAGCTTTGACTGTGTTCTAGTTTGCTCTCAGCCATTCCCTTATCAGCTGACATTCCAAGGGGTGGGGGAATTGGCACTAGCTGGTGCTCATCCTGAATGGCAATTAACCCTCTTTGTTCCTGGCTGCTTTCTTCAGTTGGCAGCAACCCTTGCCTGGGAGCTGGATCATTCATGGCAACCACTTTTCTGTCTGGATTTTCACTGCTCGAAATATGCCAACCCTACCCAAGAGTCATCTAGTCCAACCCTCTGCAATGCAGGAATCTCAGCTAAAGCATCCATGACAGATGGCCATCCAGCTTCTGCTTAAAAACCTCCAAGGAAGGAGAGTCCATCACCTCCTGAGGGAGTCTGTCAAAAAGCTCCCGCTGTCAGAAAGTTCTTCCTGACGTTGAGTTGGAATCTCTTTTCTTGTAACTTGAAGCCATTGGTTCGAATCCTACCCTCCAGAGCAGGAGAAAACAAGCTTGCTCCGTCTTCCATGTAACAGCCCTTGAGATATTTGAAGATGGCTCTCGTATCTCCTCTCAGTCTCCTCTTCTCCAGGCTAAACACACCCAGCTCCTTCGACCTTTCCTCATAAGGCTTGGTTTCCAGACCTGGATCATCTTGGTTGCCATCCTCTGCACGCGTAGCCATTTAGGATGCATTCAGATGCATTAGTTTTTCCTGATTACAATGCTAACACCTCTGTTCAGTTTTCTGCTCCATGGATTTCCTCATAGCCCTTTCTACCATGAAGGTATCCAATCTGATTTAGCCATCCGATTTGGTTGCAATCTCCGCCCCCCGCAGAAGCACGTTCCATACTTATACTTTGTGCTGTGTGAAGAAAGGCTTTCTTTATCTGTCCTGAATCTTCCAACACCCGTCGATTTCTAGTGTTGCGAGACAAGGAGGAAAACTTTTCTCTACCATAAATAATTTTATAAACCTCTATTGTATCACCGCTGGCTCACCTTTCCTCTAAAGTCTCAAATGCTGCGGCTGTTCTTCATACGGCAGTTGCTCCATCCCCTTGATCATTTTGGTTTTACTTTTCCAAACATTTCCCAACTTTGCAATATCCTTTTTGAGGTGAGGCGATGCCAACCGCAAAGAGTATTCGAAAAGCGGTCTCGTCATAGATTTCTACAACAGTATTACGACGCCAGCAGTTTTATTTTCGATTCCCTTCCTCGTAATCCTTAGCACGGAATTTGCCTTTTTCTGCCAAACACAGGTTCGACCTCTTCCCCAAGCCATTTACTATAGCGGAAGACCATTTATTTCAATGGGCCTACTCTGAGTATGGTTTTATTGGAGTTCACCGTACTCCACCGTACTCCACCGTACTTGGATAGGCTGAATTAGACAGCCTATCCGAAAAATTAAAAAACAAACCAAGGAAAGAATTTATTTCAAAATGGGAAGCATTTAAAATATATTTGAAAATTAATAATGCTGATTTAAAATCTGTAGAGGCATTTGAATAATACCAGCAATATCATTCACTAGTTATATGATATAACAAACAGTCATACCTTGGGTTACAGACACTTCGGGTTGCGCAATTTCGGGTTGCGCACCGCGCCAAACCCGGAAGTACTGGAACTGGTTACTTCCGGGTTTCAGCACTTGCACAGAAGCGCTAAATCGCACTTTGTGCATGTGCAGAAGCACCGAATCACAATCCACACGTGCACACATGCGGCGCTGCGGGTTGCGAACTCTGTGAGTTGCAAATGTGCTTCCCGCATGGATCACGTTCGCAACCCAAGCGTCCACTGTATTCTGAAGTGATTTGAGATGATAGCAATAACATGTATTGGCAGCAAAGAATGGCAATTAGATTTATGGAGTACAGTGGTACCTCGGGTTAAGTACTTAATTTGTTCCGGAGGTCCATTCTTAACCTGAAACTGTTCTTAACCTGAAGCACCACTTTAGCTAATAGGGTCTTCCGCTGCCGCTGCGCCGCCGGAGCACGATTTCTGTTCTCATCCTGAAGCAAAGTTCTTAACCTGAAGCACTATTTCTGGGTTAGCGGAGTCTGTAACCTGAAGTGTATGTAACCCGAGGTACCACTGTAGATGAGAAGTCGGATTTAAAAGGAAGAGACCATTACAGTTTATGGATTATGAAATTTATATTAATTCTTTATGTAATGTGCGACTGAGGATATTCTTAATGTGGTGTAATTTGTCTTTTTGTTGTTGTTATGTGTTGAGCAAATAAAATATTATTTTTTAAAAAAGAAGGATATATAAGAGCCAAGGAAATGTAATCTCTTCTGCGCCCCTTCGCCTTCTGCAAATGGAAGTGCATTTTGCAGGGAGAGAGTCGTTTTTGGTAGAAGAGAGTTCAAAATGGATAAGGGAGGAAATAACCATCTATGCTGGCAGAGGACCAGAAAATTCCTTGGGCTTCCTGGAAGCCATTAACACCCTCTTCCATATGCTATCTCTTGACATTCCAGCTCTGGCTTTTACTGAGGTGGCCACAAGACAACAGCTGCATGTCCATCCAGCTGTCTTCCAGGTCGGGTAATGTTCGCACCCTTTTATGTGGTGCTGCAGTGCAGACGCTTGGAACTTTTCATGCCTCGCAAGCAGAGCCTTCAACATCGACTTCCGTAACATCCTGGTATCAAAATGAGAACTAAACTAAATGTCTCCGTGCTCTTCCAGTTTTGCCCTGAACTGTGGCGGAGCTTCAAGTTTAAGCCATGGCCAAGTCCAAGAACAAGGCTTGGGGCTAAGACTCGGTTTGCCGCCAGGCAAAGATGTGATATGGATGGCACGGAGAGGGATGTGATGCGCCGAGTTCATGGCGATCATTAAGAACAGAGCGGCGATCGAGGGCCCTCCAGACGCTTTGGTGATACAGCTCTGCGAAAACGATCTTGCTTATCGTAAAACCATCGATATGCAATGGAATATATTCAGTGACTTTGAGGAACTACTCACTTCTTACCCCAGCACTAGCATTCTGTGGTCTTCCTTACTAGAAAGGCGCACGTGGAGAGATTGTCGCTCCCCTGCTGCGGTGAATAGAGCCCGAAAGATCTTGCAAAGTACTGTGCCAGTGTGGTGTAGTGGTTAAGAGCGGTAGTCTCATAATCTGGGGAACCGGGTTCGAGTCTCCACTCCTCCACATGCAGCTGCTGGGTGACCTTGGGCCAGTCACACTTCTTTGAAGTCTCTCAGCCCCACTCACCTCACAGAGTGTTTGTTGTGGGGGAGGAAGGGAAAGGAGAATGTTAGCCGCTTTGAGACTCCTTAAAGGGAGTGAAAGGCGGGATATCAAATCCAAACTCTTCTTCTTCTTCTTCTGTGGCACGTAGAGTGGCGGCTCTGGGGGGACGGGTCATTGACCATCCCGAGATCCAGTACACCAAGGTGGCCCTCTACAGAGATGATGGCATACATCTTTCCGATGCGGGAAATGATGTTTGGTTGAGCGATATTATATCAGGGATTAGGGATTGGTTACAGGTTTGAGGGTATTGGCGGCGAGCTTGGGCTCGAGTGGTGGTTAGGCATTGGTAGGGGTACTGTCCTATTGTTATGCAAATGAAGCGGGGAAGGAGCGCCATCACCTTCCCCCAAGCAAGGGTAGTCCGGTAAAGGATTCTGGGGGGCGTGGCCTTGTCCTAAGCCTAGGGAGGTGTGGGCCCACGGCACGCCCCTACGCGGTGACGCCCGGGGGAGGTCCTAGTTGACGTGCCTCATCAGGACTCCTCCCTCTGGTGATTAACCCTTCCGGCCTCTAGCCGGTTAGTAGTTAGGACCAATGCCTAAGCCAATACCGCTCAATTCCTGTAATCAATAAAGTTGTGGCCTAATTTGACCCATTAACCTGAATTCTTGTGTCCGTGCCTTTATTTCTTCGGGGGGAGGCGGGAACTCGCCACGCAAGCAGAGCTTTCTGCCTTCAACATTGACTTCCGTAACATCCTGGTATCGAAATGAGAACTAAACTAAATGTCTCCGTGCTCTTTCGGTTTTGCCCTGAACTGTGGCGGAGCTTCAAGTTTAAGCCATGGCCAAGTCTAAGAACCACACCACACACAACCAGTCTCGCACATAGCTGTCAACTTTTCCCTTTTCTTGCGAGGAATCCTATTCGAAATAAGGGAATTTCCCTTTAAAAAAGGGAAACATTGACAGCTATGGTCTTGCAAGCGGCACAGAAATGGCATTAAGAAACCCAGATCAAATAAATATGAATCTCTGAAGGGGGTTGATCCCAAGTTCCTGCGGAACACACGTTTTGCAAAGAAACACAACAAGAAAGGGCAGAAGAAAATGTGGACCAACAATGCTAAGAATGCCAAGCGCTATGTAAATAACTTTGTCTTTTTTATTATTTCTTTGTTTCTTATCTTTGCTACTTCTTTATTTTTTATTTCTTTATAAATTTTCTATTTTATATAATTTTCTTTTTTTTTACCTGTTAAGAGGACATAATGTTTGTATAGACATGTAAATTTTTTACCTGTTAAGAGGACATAATGTTTGTATAGACATGTAAATTTTTTAATCAATAAAGAATATTAATTCACTAAAAAAGAAAAGAAAAGAAAGAAGAATGCCAAGTAACTAGTTTGCCTCCAGATGGCAAAAGGGACTGACTTGCTTGGCAAATGACCAGCAGTTGTTTTCTTCTTTTCACTCAAGGCGTTTTGTATAAATAAAATTGAGTGCAAAATGTGAAACAAAACAAAAACAAAAAAACCCTTAATGTTTCCATCCATATTTTATAACTCTTGCCACCCGCGTCAGATCTGCAGCACTGCCAAGTTGGAAGCTTGTAAAACTCAGCAATTAGCAGGCCCTTCTGCCCCCAGGATCCTAGGAATATGCCCAAAGAGGCATAAAAGGTAAAGTAAAGGGACCCCTGAACATTAGGTCCAGTCGCGGACGACTCTGGGGTTGCGGCGCTCATCTCGCTTTACTGGCTGAGGGAGCCGGCGTACAGCTTCCGGGTCATGTGGCCAGCATGACTAAGCCGCTTCTGGCGAACCAGAGCAGCGCACGGAAACGCCGTTTACCTTCCCACCGGAGTGGTACCTATTTATCTACTTGCACTTTGACGTGCTTTCGAACTGCTAGGTTGGCAGGAGCTGGGACTGAGCAACGGGAGCTCACCCCGTTGCGGGGATTCGAACCACCAACCTTCTGATCGGCAACTCCTAGGCTCTGTGGTTTAACCCACAGCGCCACCCACGTCCCACCAAAGAGGCATACCTCTCAATTATTTCACCTTCGCTTACTGCAGGTAGCAGTAACAAACACCAAGCTGCTTGGTCACCTTCAGCCCAGTGCTCACAGTGTGAACCCAGTTCCTGTTAGCACCCTGAGCTCTAACCCTACACCCTTACTGTTTCATCAGCCTGCCATTACATCCTGCTTTGCTTAGGGCAGTGGTGGCCAAACTCGGCCCACCAGATGTTTTGGGACAACAACAACAATAATAATGATTTATTATTTATACCCCGCCCATCTGGCTGGGCTTCCCCAGCCACTCTGGGCAGCTTCCAACAAAATATTAAAATACAGTAATGCATCAAACATTAAAAGCTTCCCTAAACAGGGCTGCCTTCAGATGTCTTCTAAAAGTCTGGTAGATGTTGTTCTCTTTGACATCTGGTGGGAGGGCGTTCCACAGGGCGGGTGCCACTACCGAGAAGGACCTCTTTCTGGTTCCCTGTAACCTGGCTTCTCGCAGTGAGAGAACCACCAGAACGCCCTCGGAGCTGGACCTCTGTGTCCGGGCAGAACGATGGGGGTGATGTACTGAGTTGAATAGGATCCAAAATGCAGCAGTCTGATTGGCCCTAGAACAATAGGATTCAGAATGCAGCAGTCTCATTGGTCCTAGAACAATGCAGCCACCCAATCCAGCTCCAGGTGGAAGTGAATCCACGACCTGATTGGCTTACAGGAGAATCCCGGAATTAGCCAATCACGTGCAGCCCATTGTGTAAATAATGTATATAAAGCAGATATTGTGGGGGAACTTTCATTCCTCCTCACCACTATGAGCTGAATAAAGAGCATGAAATCCACTCTCGACTCCAAGTATATTTCACTTCCAAGGCATGGAGAAGAGAGAGAGAGAGAGAAGAGAGGTAAACTGCAGAGGACATGTATGTGTGTGTGCAGGCTCCACATTGGGAATCTAACGCTGTGCTTGTGTACTTGAAACGAAAGCAAACATTACGCCCACAAATGGCATCCCTCTGGTGCGCTTACTCACCCAAATGAGAGCTGCCCCCGGCTGCTCAGAGGAGGCGGGGGTGGCTGCCATATGCCCTCCATTCAAGAAGGATGAGTAATGGCATGCCCAAACTCAAGCCACCCCGAACGCTTCCATAAAAGAACCGATCTGCATTCGCCTGCGTGGAGCTCTTTATTTTCACAAGTGTTTAGCTCGCTGCGAGAATTCGGTTCTGTTTATTTATTTATTTGCTTCAGTTCCGAACTAGATAAACTAACAGGAAGGATTCGAAATCTGCGGAACCAAAAATTCACAAAAGACCGGTGTAAATTTACAGACTATTTGAAAAGTAATTGTGCTGATCAGACTATTTTTGTAGGTTTGCAAGAAGTTTTGTGAGGTGAACTATTGGAACTATTGCAAAAATGGATAAAGGGGAAGATGGTTAGTTAAGATAATTAAAGGCAATATGAATTTAAGAAATGCATAAGAAGTGGTTAAAACGGTGGATCATCAGAGGTGCTGATGGAAGTCCAAAAAAAGATTGTACAAGTGGTGAAGTTTTGTGGTATGTATTATAATTTATATGTTAAAATTAATAAAAATTATTATTATATTTATTTGCTTCGGTTCCGGATGCACGCGAGAAAAACCAAGCACCTCCTCTGCTCCTGGGACAAGATGCAGAAAGGGAGCGCAAGGCTAAACCCCATGAGCCGATTCTGGCTTTCATTGAGAATCTCAGCCATCTCTCTCCCCCTGATTCAACCGTTGTATAACACCTCTGGACCCTGGCCCAGAAAATGTGTGGTTTCTAAATGAAATATAGAAAGGGATGTGTGTGCATGTAATAACTTTTGTGCCAGCTAATTCCTCTGAAATGTAGGTGGCCCAAGAAATTGGCCTCGTCCCCATTTCATACTTTTAAAATGACTTGACGCTGGTATATATATATAAATTCTGCGCGAACTTAAAGGCGTTTAAGTAGCAACTCCGAAAGGGCATGTCAACAACCCCTTAGCTGCTAATACCCGTTCGTGATAATAAAAGGACCGAGCCAGGAATAGTTGGCTGCCAGAAGCCAGTATTTCAAGTAGTACCCAAAAAAATAAAAGGGGGCAGGTTGGTTTTGCAGTCCTTTGAAGGATTTTGGTGGAGGTGCTTTAAAAAAAAAAAAAGAAAAAGGTAGGAGGCCATAAAGGAAATTTGAAAATGGGCATGTAGACTGTAACGTATTTTAACATTTCCTGTGCAAGAGTTTAAACTTGGTTAACGATTAATTCTTATTTTTCCAATAAGCATTTAAATGGTAATGTCTTGGAGGTAAATATGATCATCAAAGGTTTCGTCTCTCATTGGAGGGAAGTAGGAACGGGAGGAATGGGAAGCTTGTAGAAGTTTTGTATTTTAATTAAAAAAAAAAGCTCGTTTTTATGAGTGCATGCCTGTCAATGAGAATACTTCTCACAATTGCTAATTATGTCTTGTAATAGGGGTGGACCAGGTGAATTTTGATGAGCTTGCTGGTTCCAATTTGTACACACAAGATTAAACCCTAAATGACTTGTGAGTCCCAAATATCCACATCGACCTGCCTGTGCTCTAAAATCAGCAAGTCAGGCCTATCTGGTGTTCCTTCCTCAGTTTTCTTCTTCTTTGGCGATCACTCATAGCCGTGTAAGATTGTCTTCCATAAACACAGTTTTGACAGTGAGTCCGTAAGTGACTGTGGAGGCCAATTCTGGATCCACGCGTCCTTCCACAGTGGGGACATTGGTTTCTGGGTGGGAGTTGATCACAATGAGGGTTTGCCAAGCGTGCCTTCCTCTTCCCACGCTTCTCCCTTGCGTCCTGAGTTCAAGCGTCTTCAAAGTCCATGACACCTTTGGGAAAGGCTGTTCTCCAACTGGAGCGCTCGCAGGCCAGTGTTTCCCAGTTGTCAGTGTTTATACTAGTTTTTTAGATTTGCCTTGAGAGAGTCTTTGAACCTCTTTTGTTGACCCATCAGCATTACGCTTTTCATTTTTAAGTTCGGAATAGAGTAGTTGCTTT